AAACTTTGACGCTACCCGTTCTAACCTGCTGTGGTTCGGTGAAGCCCATTTGTTGTGAATTATATGTTCTTTGTCATGTTTACTAACTTAGGGTTTTACCAATTGGATCAAAGTGTCGTAATATTTAAGGCTAAAGGAGTTTGGAGAGTTTGCGCAGAAAGTGGCCTATATTTTTGTCGTTGAGATTTAATTACTCCATGGTGCGAACTACCTCGTTATCTCTTGAAAACAAATTTAACCAAGCGTGCGTTTTGGTTGATTTGTTATTTGCTTAAAGCGTAACAATATCAAGCTGTTTTTAGCAAACATTGTCAGCGGACCGGAGAAACTCAAGTGTTCCTGGCATTTCTTCAAACGAACAGGAAAACAAAGAAAATCCAAATGCTTAATCGGCTAAATATTCTGTTCTTGAGTAAATGCTTTTAGAATGAGTTGGACAAAGAAAAAGGTGTTCGCCATAATATATAGAAGAGCAAAGGTGACCAACTTAAACGACTTAATTCTGTATTTTGCAAAGTTTTTATTTTAGTTTTAATTTCACGGTCGCTTTGCTGCTTAACAAACTGTAAAGTAATTATCAACTTGAGAAAAACGGGTGTTGCATTGGGTATACACTTCAATAGGCCACAACCCACTGGTTCAAACCAAACCAGACATACGCTTTCTGTCGCTATCCCAGTGTTCTTAATGGCGGGCGGTTAGCACCTATTCCCTCTCAGGGCCGGGTTGTTCGAAGCTAGGTTAAGATAACCCACAGTTAGTGGGAAATTTGAACTCAGATATGAGGGCTTAAAAAGCAAATTCAGTTTAATTCTCTTTGCCTACAATTTGATGAATGGATACTCTAAAAAGAAAAGAGAAAATTATCCGAGAGAGTGCTTTTGATAAAAAGATAAAGAAACCCGGGTTAGAATTTAACCCCGGGTTAGCGCTAACCGGCGTTCGAACAACTGAGAGGGAATAGGTTAGAAAAATAGCTTTTTTAATGGCTAAATGCAGCGATTTAAAGTGACAACGGGAATGGTTGTTACTGACGTTTTTCTTTTTAAACCAAAGGTTTAACTTGATAACAGTAGTTCAGTTTTCAAATGAAACGTCTCTTGGTACACGCTTGCTATGCAGTTTAGTCGGTTGTAATCTTTTGTATGTCCAACTTTGTTTTTATTTGCGCCCAATTCAAACAGTCAATAAATATATTATATATAATATCTAATATCTAGTTTTATGTAGATTATACCTTAAATTACGAAAATCCCTTTAGTTCCCCAGTTTTTTGTTCCCCGCTCTTTGCGTTTGGAAGCTTTATCCGAAAGGAGAAATTCGGATCGTGACTTTCTTTAGCCAAAAAAAAGTAAGATGGTTATATTTGTTACACAGATGTCAAGTTGGGTGAAGTGTACAGAATTTTGACGTACGTTTTTTTTAAGTAAGTATGGCATATTCTAAGAACCATTGTAAATCATTGTTAGAAGCACATCAGTTATGGTCACAGATGAGAATAGTTGCATTTTAGTGCGAGGGGCCAGCCGCTGCTAAGGAAGGATCTTGCTATTTTTTATTACCTTTTATTGCTCCAATCATGCCAGACTAACCAAAACTAACTTCCATAATACAGAGAGCCTGTGAAAATTAGGACTGATTGAAATATTTGCCAATTCGGTAAACAATTTTGGATAAATTTAGGTTTTGGGAAACTGCTTACCTACCCCTCCCCTAAGTCAACATAAACACTTACTTCTCACTTAGGGCAAAATGTTGGGTTAAGGGAGGGGTAGGTAGGCAGCTTCCCAGGAACCTAAATTGTAGACAAAATTGTCCGCCTTTGTTTTCCTAGGTACACTTGTTAGTAGTTTAGTACTTTGTAATTTTGCTAAAATGTAAAACTGCAAACATTGACCTTTCAGTGAAAAGCTGATCTATGACTGAGATCGAAAACTACCGGTATAGTGTTTAGTGAGAAAATAAAATGATCTCGCAATGAGAATCGTATATACTAGATGGTAAACTTCAGTTTTTTTACTCTTACAAATACTAGCCGTTTTGTTAAAGTTTCCAAGATGGTAACAAATTTTAATAAAACATTCTTCGTATCATGGACTGCTATACAAAAGAACAGAAACGCTAAAGAGAACAAGGTGAAACAATTTAGTTGATTCATTGTTGGTTGTTTGGGGAAATTTTTAGATGATAGTTTCCATGATTACAAATATTTTGCTCCAAGTTTTATAACGTAATGTACATACATACTTTATTGTTACCTCCCCAAAGGGGCTTTTCAGGGTGACTACATGAAGGAGGTGGTTTAGAGGTGTGGCCAGGTAGTTCCTCCCATTTTCTTGTAAAAATTGTAATTTTTTGTTTAGTTTCTGTTCTTTTAATCCGCATCAACATTGAGACTCAATGTACTACATGGGAACGGTGTATATATGTGTCCCGTTTCAGTTCTTTGTATCAGTCCTATTTTCCTTTCTTTGTTGGTATGATATAGTACGATAAAAAGAACAAAGAATAAAGGAAGATAAGTCACAACAAATTGCTTGCAACACGTTTCTCTTTTCTCGTTTCTGATAAATTTTGGATGAGAAGTTAGGTTTTTGCTAAGACATTATTACCTAAAGTATATCGGTGCCTGCAAGATATGATTTAGATTGAAGCAAGATCTGTGAAAACGATACGTTTAACTGCTCTGGTCATGGTTTCACAGATATATATACTGACGCGAAAATAATCGCAAATCCCACGAGGCTTACATCTTAGACATTGTCTCAACCAGATTTCGGTCCATAAGGTTGGGAAACCGAGGACTTTCATAAAATGAATAAATAAATAAAGAAAAAGAGGAACCACTTCCATTAGTTCCAATCAATGAGCGTTATTTCAATGCTAGCTATATCATACAAGGGCAACATCCGTTTAAATGTATACCTGCCCTGAATATGTCATAGCATCACCCAAGAGGATAATGGAAATTTTAATTCATTTTGGACGTTTCTATTTTCGGACATCGTTGGAGTCGGCAAAAGGAATTATCGTAATTTTTCTACTATTATTGAGACTTCAGTTCTCTCCAGGTCTATTGATTGCTTTTAGTCAGGTATAGTGGCATCGAATGAGTATCGGAATCGTTCACTAAGAATTAAGCACTCTAAAGTGTTGCCTTAATACTGTAGTACTGTGAAAATTTCCAATGCATGATGCCAGTTAGCCAGCCCTCAACGGGTCAAAATAATTTGTAGTCTGCGTCGCAGGCGTAATTCAACCCCGGTTATTAAAGTTTCCGAAGCAGCGCCCATATCCTTGTTCTGGGCCCTCAACGGTCTCAACGAATTACCGGAAGTGCGTTTCGAATTTCTTTTCATCTTTGATTGGCAAATCGACAATGACTTTTTAACAGGCCAATCATGGCGCGTAGTCAAATCCTGCTACACAGGTGGGGAACCAGAGCAAGGATTTCGGCCCTGTTCCGCAGACGGACTTAACCAGAGTTTAGTTTCGTCTTCGGCGCAGGCTAAATATTTTGTTGTTTGTTACTCACAGACACAGTCAGTTAAAACGTAATGTATATTTTAGTTTGTCACTGGTCACGGATAAATGACTGATAAGCACAAATAATGTTTTGTCGTTTCACATTTTATTCTATGAACTCCCATTTGATTTAAATTTTGTTGCTATTTATTTATTAATTTTTCCCTTAATATCGAACCTAAGGGTACATAACCAGTACATGCGAAGATGAAAAATTAGCATTTGCTGATAAAAGCCAACTGTATAAAGTGTTTGATCAAACAAATAACGGAAAAAAAATTCCGATAAACTGCGTGGCACTTTAGAAAGTAAGTATGGGAATGTTCAACAACAAAAAAAGAAAAATAATAAACAAAAGTGCAGTATTCTGATTTAAGTTTTTCTCCAAACGTTTCGGGCCTGACCCTTCATCAGTGGAGTTACAAAGACTTTTGGACTCCACTGATGAAGGCCCAGGTACGAAACGTTTGGAGAAAAACTCAAACCAGAACACGGCACTTTTGTTCATTATTTTTCCCTTTTTTGTTGAACATTCCCTTTCTTACTTTTGTATTTAAAGTGTTGCAGAGGTCTAATCAATATCAGTTAACGTTTTGTTGATAACCTTTCTCCTTATAATTCATAACAATGGTAAAACTGATGATCGTGAAGGAAATTGCATGGTTAGAAGTGGAAAATGTCGTCATGTGTTTTTAAATGGTTCCAAATAACGTCCGTATTCTTACTTAACTTGATTATCATCCCACGAAATTTCTTAATCAGGTTTGGACCCATTTCAATCCTTTTTAAAATGCCTTTCAAGTCACATGAAAAATATTCTTTAACTTTAGGTAATAATCGGAAAATTTGTGTAGGCAACATTTCAATTTTCAAATTCAAGATTTTTGATTCCCTATTAGAAAGAAAGAATGCGATAAATGTGATTTGCCTAGAGGTGAAAACTAATTTTGTTTTCTTTTTTGTGTCAGTTCGACATAGTACTTTAAATAACCGCATCCCATTCTTATCCTTAGGGGTAAGTATTTAGTAGTTATCCCCATTCCGAGCGTTATCTGACATTTGATCCATTTCGCATCCGTTCATGTCGTTATAAGTGTCTCAGCTCCTCCTAAAAGGATTTTTTATGAGAGAAACAGGGTGCACCTGTTCCTCTTTATTTGCGTTTCAAGTGTGAGTGTTTTTCTCGCGTTTGAAATTGGCGTCTAAATTTGCTTATCGTGTTTTTATTTCACCTAGCTGGTCGAGACCGTCTAGTTCTTCTGAAGAGCTTAAGCCAAAGATATGTAAAATCACGTTAAGGAATATCCCACGTTATTTCGCTTTGATAGATACCCTCTCAAAAGATATTTCATTAAAGAAAACTGTTAACGTTGAGGATATAATGCGGTAAGGTCCCCTTGGCTTAGCAGTTTGCTCTGATCCAGTGTTAATTTGCCAATGTTGGCCTATAACGTTTCCCCTTTTACACCTGACATTTAACCTCTTGTTCCACTTCCAACTCCAGATCTTTTATCTAAAGGAACATGCATATTTTTAAATCTGGAGTCCAATGTCTTTTTCTTTCTCATGCCGTTAATGTATTTCATTTTTTGCGCTAACCTAAGCGTTTGATAACGATTTCGTTTTTGGTCCATTGGTTGCTTCCCTCTTAAGCAGCAATCGTGGTGACAGTAGTAGAGGCAGTTAAACGGCCTACATTCCATAGGACAAGGCACTTTAATCGTAAACTGCGTAGAGTCACCCGCTTGACCTGGTCTTTCCAGGCTAGATGCGTGGGCAGATGAGGCCTTACAGCAGGTTTCATCGCAGTTGGGATAACACGAACGTGGGCAGCCTGGATGACAAAGTGCAATTGGTGGTGGCAAAGGGAATGATAGAGCTTTTGGATGAGGCTGATCGTGTCGTCTTGTGGGATTTTCCGTTGGGCCGCGCATGTCAGAATTAAGTTTCTTGGGGGCCGTTGTACAGCAACTTATAGTGCAAGCGGGAAAACATTCAGAAAGGCAACCACCTGGACAAAGGGGTGCCTTAATTTTAGCGGGAGACTTTGCTGACGGTGGCAGCGACGATAAAATGCCAGCACAACATCTCACTGGACATGAAGGTGCGCAGCTGTTTTCACAAATTGATGGACAAGCCTGGTTTGACGAGGGCGTAGGCTTCTTCGAGAAGAAGTTATCGTATGACTGTTTGGCTTGAACATGGACTGCTGCTGGTTTAATGGCTGGCATTTCACCCCTTAGGCAGCAGTTTTCTAAGCAGTGTGGGTAGCAATAGGCTGGACAACTAGCTGTGCAAGCTGAAGGTGGTTTAGGAGGGGAAGCTTGAGGTGGAGCCCCCGAGGCTCGATTTGCTGCCTTAACTGGTTCTGTTGCATTATGTTCCAGCACCAATGGCTTCTTATCCTTCGAGCAACAATACCCTGGACAGCTGTTTGAGCAGAACCAAGAACATGAAGGAGGGCAATTTGACGTTGGAGTGACCTGAGATGACTTTGTTTCATTAACTTTATTATGACAACAGTTTTGTGGACAGGGAGGCAAACATGTCTTGTCGCAGTATCCCGGACACTGAGGAGTTTTATCATTTAGTTTCTCAGCAACGCCGACGTCCTTAATCGTAATACGGTTCTGTTGAACTACTTTCTTGGACTTTGTGAGATGGGCTGTCTTCAATTTATGGTCATCTGATTTCCAAGGGGAATGCTTATGTTTCGGACTATAGAGATTACCGTACATACTGTACATCATATTTAAAAAGTTCATCATTCCAAACCAGCTCATTGCGTTTCGGAAGAAATCGGCACCATTTTTGCTCTCGCTTTTAAGGTGCTGGAAGTTTGCATCTGTTAAGGTAGCCGAAGAAGAGTTTCGTTCACAGCAAATTGGCGGACATTTCGCATCACATTTGGGTCTGCAAGCGCGAGGACAAAATCTCTCTGCCATTGTTTTCATAAAGGTTTCTTGTATCTTGGGATCCATCATTGGGAATTGATTTTTTGTTCCATCAACATAGCAACAGGGTTTTGGACATGATGGCTCACATTTTTCCGCACAGCTGAAAGGACACTTTCCTAAGCAGCATCTTACAGGGCAAGTGTCCCGGCACTCAGATTTACACTGTCCAGGGCAGCCTTCCTCTCCTAGAAGAGGTTTTGCGTCTGTGTCTGAAACTGCAAATCCCCCTGCTGGATCATTCACGGTAACGGCTTCGAGGCCAGCAGCGTCGGACTCGCCTGGACGCTGTTGAAAGTCTGATGCAAAGTTTGTTAGAGCTTCGCCCACTTTAACAATAGGTTTGAGAACAACTTCCGTTGGACGGGGGCTGACTTTTGGTTTTGAAGAAAGGCCATTAGGTTGTGGTGTCATTTGCTGGGGATTACCATCATTATTATGAAGCTTCATAGCTGGATGATGTTTGCAACAATTTGGTGGACATCCTGCATGGCATGTTGCTGAGCACTGAAGGGGGCAGTTCTTGTGCGTTATCGTGTATGCTGAAATTGAGAAAAAGAAAATGCAAACGTCAGTGAAAACTGTTTACGTTTTCATTCAACGACATATACTTAAAGGGGATAAAACAGGTAGAGAAAAAACAAACAAACAAACGCAGGAACAAAAAATTAAACATTTAACAGAATGATAAAGGAAACATTATTTTATGCTTATAAGAAATCAAAATTTTTGCTCGTTCAAAGCGTAAATGAGTCATACATGTACTTGTTCGAAACTGTAAAAAAATGTGACGAAGAATATCGCAGGGTTAAAACGAAGATTTCGTTTGCTTTGTGGATCTTTTTACTTTTAAGTCACATCTTGGAACAATTACATTTGAAAGAGAAACAACGCTGTATCTAGCTTGTCACCCTATTTTTATCTCACATGATGTGTATCATAGCGTGATCCCTGGAATGAACTGGTACCTTTTGTGCAACTCGAGAAAGGAGCTATCTTAGGTTAAAAATTGACCTGAATAAAATCTTGTTCAACTCAAATCATTCATTTAGTGACAGTAGTTATCTCATCATCGACTCATTGAAAACCTTGTTGGACAGTGTTTGATGCTATAATTCAATCATGTTAGATCAGTTAAATGGGTTAAATCTTCTGGGTCTATTCGAACAGATCCAACACCCTTCAGCAATGCTGGATGATATTGGACAACCATTGAGCACCTTGATGGACAGTATTCGATGCTATCCAGTTTAGTTCGATCAGTTGAATGAGTTAAACTTTCCGGGTCTATTAAAACATATCCAACACCGTCCAGCAATGCTGGATGAACCCTGGAAGACGAGACTTAAGGCGTCAAATAAATTGAAATTTGACGTACGTGCGCACTCGTAGCCATTGAAGTAATGGGAATGGTCGCATACACAAAATCCTTTGATGCATTTTCCGTGTTGCTTGCAGCCGGGAAGGCATGTATCAGCTGTGAGTGTGGAAGACACAGATAGAAAAAACTGTTACAGTCAACTCTTGCCTTACGGACACCCCGTTATAACGGACACCCAGATAATTCGGACAGCGCCTAAATCCCGGGCAAAAATAAATTACGGACGTTTGACTGAAATTAACTCCCGCTGTAATGGACGCGCCAGACAGCACAAAATCTTATCGTATTCCGTAACAAAAAGGTTGAAATCTATAACCAATTTCCAAATTAGAGGTCCAAAAACTATCTTTTGCCACCACGCATTCCTACAGACCGCAAGGGTTAACCCCTTTCCGAGGGAAGTAAATACCAAAGTCTCTTTCTTTTGTGCGTTTTGTGGATTTTTGTGGCATCAGCTAAAACGGTTTAGATTTATGAGATGCACACAAGTGGATGCTAACAGTACGTGAACACGGTACCTGAGACATACAAACTGTACATTTTTCCGCTGAAGATAACGCCTCTTCTAACACTTTCTTCTAACGTTTCGGCACTGCCTATTTCCCTTTCGTGAACGGTCGTTGCCATTTTAAACGGTCGATTCCACCATTGGTAACCGAGCCTTTAGTCATGATAGATATAATATATTCCCCGGATTTAGTTAAAATAGGAGAAATTATACGTTTTTGAATAGTCTTTGAAAGAACAACCTTGAAGCCCAAGTTGAATTTTCGTTAAAAGTTATGGAAAGGGCTAGGGTAACCTGTTATTGATGTAACTGTCAAGAAAGACAGTTTGCTAGTTTATGTACTTAAGTTTTTCGGGATTTTGGCGGATCGGTGTGTAATACACTAGTGGTAAGGGAGAGAGATTACTGTACGAAAGATCCGAGTTCGACCCTGGGGTGCGATTTTTTTTTCTTTTTTAAAAAAGGAACATTCTCAATAACATGTCAAAAACTTTTTAAGTGTCCCAAAAATGGCAATGACCATTTACGAAAGGAACCACTGCTTCGTTGTTTCCTTGTCGCAAGATTGTCCTCTTACGAGAGGTCTGACTGTACTTACGGCGACAATCCAATCCATCCCCGGTGTATCCTGCCTTACACATGCACTCTCTGTTAATACATTTAGCGTTATAATGGCATTCGTCTTTGCATGCACTCGGCGATGACTCTTCATCTGAAACAGAAACGTGTTCTAAAAGGGAATAATTACCAAACGTTACTTATTTTGTCAAGAGAAAATGGCCTCCATCCACGTTGGTGTTTATTGTAATATTTGTAACATTATTTCATCAAAAGGCTGATGGATGGGTTTGATTGATTATTCTTTTTTTTGAAGGTTATTGATAGCCTTTCTGTAAGTACTACTTGATAACACATTTTTTTTTAAGTCCAGGTAAAAAAAAAGATCGTTTTAATGATCGGCAAACCAACATTCACGCACCTCTCATACATTTGTATAATTATTGGCTAAAAAATAAGCTGCAGCCTGCTTAATTTATGTTAATGTTAAAAGCTTAATTTACAAGCGTTAGGAAAAAGTGCAATGCAGCGTTAATTTAGAGAGTGGGGGTAAAGCGGATTTGAAGTGTAGAACACGGTCTCTAGCCTATGTATGATGCTGTATAGGTTACAGAAACTCGTCAAATCTCTGAGTACTGTATCTTGTCCCATTTAAAAAATATTTTGTGCATCGCAAGAAAAGAGCTATCTTAGGTTAAAAAGTTCAATTTACTTTGTATCTGAATGAAATCGTGTTCAACTAAAACCATTCATTTAGTGACAGTTGTCTTCTCATCATCGACGTACTGAGAACCTTGTTGGACAGTGTTGGATAATGCTATTCAATTATGTTTAATCAGTCAAATGGGCTAAAACTTCTGGGCTGTTCAAATAGATCCAACACCTTCCAGCAATGCTGGATGATATTGGATAACCATTGAACACCTTGTTGGACAGTGTTAGATGCTATTTAGGTCTGCTTGATTAGTTGAATGGGTTAACTTTTCTGGGTCTATTCAAACAGATCCAACATCGTCCAGCAATGTTGGATGATATTGGACAGCCTTATGGACCCGTTAAAACGGCTCTTTACTCTTAAAACATATACCTGATTCCGGACCAGAGAGAGCGGACAGAATATGGGCCAAAGGCTGGTCATCATTGATAATGCAGACCTTGTCTATACACCTTGCATGGGGAGGGCATCCTTTACATCCCTTTACTGTACATGCACAAAAGAAAACTCAATGCAAGATTTCTGTAATCTATTTATAGTGATCCTAATTCTTCTATATGGCATAGCTTGTCATTATGCTCCAGTTTGAAATGCAGATTGCTTTACTTTTGCAATGTGGTCAGGTCTTTGAACTATGGTTGTTTGTTTTGTGCGTATTTTGTCTGACTTCGTCATTGCTAATTTTTTAAAGATGTCTTCAGCTGAATATTGCTGCTTTGGGAGTACGAAAGGTCTTTTTGTAAATGAATAACTGAATTACTTTAGGTTAACATAACCTTTATCTTTACCTTTCCTCTTATTATTTTTAGTGTTTTTTTTTCTAATTTATCAGATTTACTGTTTACTATAGCGCTTACAATTATTCCGTGTCCCCCTTAACTTATAATAATAGTTCTTTTCTTCTGGATATAGTTTATATAGCCAAGCGTTTGCGAACAGCGAAAGTTTACTTTAAAGCATTATGTTCTTGGAAATTTTAAAGAGCGAACAAACATAAAGACTCAACAACGGGTATAAATACATAGCAGCCTTGATACCTAATTGAGAAAAACAAAGTGACATTCTTCGTTTACAAATGCAAGTGAGTAACAGAATTACTACGTTCTCCCTTCCCTCTTACATGTTTAGTTTCTTTATTTTAAGAAGCTCTTACCCAGAGTATGATTTTTTCTACATTAATGAAAACAACTTAAACAATACTTACCTGCCGTCGGGCCATTTTTGTTTGCAATGTTGATAATCTTGTAAACGTCATCTTCAAGGGGAGGAACTTTGGGCTCAGCGCCTGGCGCTAGAAATTGCTCTTGAGGAACGCCGAGCCCATTTTGATTTTCTGAAGGGGAACTTTGCGGCTGTGCATTTTCCTCATACTGATTCGTCTCGCCGTTTGTGGCTTGGCTGTTCATTGAAGCATACCCATTAATACCGTTCTCAGTCTCAGGATTAATGGGGTTGCCATTGTCATCGACAGTAGAGGTTTGATACCCACCTGGGGCACTTATAGCTCCTACTCCCATTAAACCATTATTGCCTCCCTCTTTTGCTTCTGTCTCTGGACCAATATTGATAGCAGTAGCTCCGGCATTTGTACTCTGACCTCCTTGGCCATCTCCTTCTTGACTATTGAATTCCTGTGATTGTTGTGTTGGCTCAGATGGTTCCTTGAGTGCCTCTTCTATTGAAGATGCATATTGAATTCCAGGTGGAGGAGCCATCTTATTGCTACCTCCAAGGGACTGTTCGCTCGCGTAACTGACTGCTCCCTGCCCTAGTTGCCCTGAATCTCCAGTTTGTCGGCCGTCTGCACCAAGCAAGCTTTCGTACGAGTTCGGTGAACCCGCAAGTCCTTGTGACTCCGTAGGTATTCCTTCTGGACCTTGTTGGTCGTCACTTTGTTGTTGCTGTGGCCCCTCTTGTTGTTGTTGAAATTCCTGTGTTTGATCTTGTTGCTGCTGTTGCTGTTCGAAGTCTTGTGGTTGCTGTTGCTGTTCGAAGCCTTGTGATTGCTGCTGCTGCTCGTCCTCCTGCGGCTCTTGTTGTTGAAAACTGGCTTGCTCAAAACCGTTGTGACTTACAGTTTGATCTTGATCGCTTTGCTCTTGATCGCCCTGTTCCTGAGCACCTTGATCTTGTCCTTGACCAGCCTGTTCGCCTTGATATTGTAGTTGTCCGGCGTCCATCAACTGGCTTCCCTGGCCCGCTAGCTCCCCGCCTTGGCTGTCTTGGCTCATGCTCTCCTCGTCCTGTTCTTGTTCTTGAGGTTGTTGAGAATACCCTGCCTGCTGGAACTGAATCGCTTGGCCAAGACTTGAAAGTTGTCCTCCATCCCGTTCACCAGCATCTTCGTTATAATTGCTGTCCGCAAAGTTCGCAGTAGATGGCTGGTTGTTCTCCTGTTGATATCCTGCAGCATCCTGTCCCTGTCCGTCCTGTCCCGTATCATATTGTGATAACGGATTTGTCTCACTTATCATTGCCTGTTGTTGCTGTCCCTCCAGGGAGAATCCTTGATCTCTAACGTCTCCTTGTTGATCGTTTCCCATTACAAAATCTTGCCCACCTCCCATGATTGGTTGATATTCTGAGTCTGACTGCACTGGATTCGTGGATTGAAACAAAGAATATTTCTTAACCATCGTTTTCTTCTTGGCATTTTTCTTCGCATGCGCATCGTTAGGTTTTGTTCTTTTATCCGGTTTGAAATTTGAAATTTTATTTACTAGATGATTCTGTGTCGTGTCGCTCCTAGCGCTGTTTGCCCTGTCCTTAGCAGACGGTTTTGTTGATTTATAACCAGCTTTGCCAATTATGTGTACATCGGGTTTGTTATGAATAGTAAAGTTCGTCTTAAATATTCGTAGTCCCTTCTGTGGGCCATCAGAAAAGGGACCTTCTTGATTATTACCATGTGGAATCTTTTTCCGTTTGGAATGATTTTGTAAGACATCCTTTGTTCTCTGTGAATATGAAACCGAATCGTTTCTCAACCGCTTTACATGATCGTACCTCTTCTGCGTCTTCGTCTTACAAGTTACGTGGAGTATTTCCCGTGTGAGACATAACAAAAGAAGCGGACCAAAATATGGAAAAACTTTCATATTTTGACTACATATCCCCGTTTTGTGTTTAAGCAAGAGACAATAACCCAATTAATAATACAAACAGTTTTCCCTTTAAGCGAGAAATATAGGTAACAGGAAAACAATTCGATTGCCGGTAGTTTTTGTTTGATCTTAATTAAACTCACGTCACCCCCAGCGTTCAACCTGTTGAACTGCTTAATAAGTAAGTTCTGATTGGGCAAAACGATGTTAGAAGGCACTACAAGCCGGTTGTTTTGACTTGCTTCAGTGAGTGCTTGTTGAGGAGTATTTTTATATACTTTGGAAAGAGTTTCCTTTCAATAATAACAATTGCTATTGTTTTAAATATTCCCACCAATTGTTTTTGAATATATCAAAACCTAATCAAAAGCGGTCTTTCGATACAACCTGCATCCAGGATGGAAAATGTTGTCGATTTAACTTTCTTTATTGATCAGAAAGACTACAGTTTTTACGTATAAGAGCATTTTTTTTGTAATCAATAAATCAATGCTTAAACTTCATTTTAAGTAGGTTATGACCCTTTAATTCAAGCTATTTGGGCTATGATTGATTACGATAACGATAATGGTACGGATTTATTTATAAGACATGGTATGAACCAAATCAATCAATGCATGCATTCTTTACTTCACGGGTCAATTTCTCATCTCTCTCATTTTATTGCTTCTGGCTTTTGTTGACAAAAAGAAACTTAAATAGTTGATTAGATAAGTGTTGATGACTAACGAAAAGAGAGAACTTTTACTTTAAACGTACTAGAATCGGAGTTAATCTCGTTGCTAGCAAAGCCTTAGGCTTAGTTACCAACAATAACGAAGTAAAAGCTAAGGAATCACAAATTAAGTTACACCTCAAACTCAGTCCCACAGTGAAACGTCTAACCATTTGTTGGGTTATGTAAAAATATTAATTTTCCTCAACAGATTTAGAACACGCCCTATTTAGAATAACACTATAATGTAGAGATACTGCGAATATCCGTTTCCAACAACAACGTATCATTTTGAGAATCATAGTGTTGAGTATCTTCGAATGTCATTTCTAGTTTAATAACTATCCAAAAAGTTTTAACCCACAAAAAAGACATCTGAATAAACTTTAGAGTATTAAAATTGGCATTTATTTACTTTAAATAATCAAAGAGGCGTAAATTTTGACTCCAGTCTTCGTAATCAATGCATCCACGGCGATTCTGACTTTACGTAGATGAAATGTTCTAATGAATATCAGTTATCTTTGCCATAGAATCTAACGTCTATGTGTTTAACGGCAATGCTGGGAATCCAAGAAGTAACCTAGAAAATTTACGAATTGGCTGGATGAATTGAAAAATGATTCTACGCTATTGGCATTTCTGAACCCAAAATTGGGAAAGGAAATGTTTTAGATTTTAATTCTACCATGTCGGGTTACTCATCTGAATACTTTCGCCGCCTCCGGCTTCTGGTGATGTCGGGCTGTGTGTTAAAGATTGTTGAGTTATAAAATGATATAAAGAACCTGTGAGAAGCCTTATAGGCTTTTTCGATCGGTGCCTTGCACACAATACCTGGCATTTTCATAGGAAGTCTTTTACGATGAATGTTAGTATAGCGTTAGCCATTCGTTTATAAGCCGCGTTATGTAAATTTTTGAACTTAGCCTTTGCTCAAAAGCTGATGCTTTTTTATGAGTTTTACTGTTATTTGTTTTTATCACGAAACCTTATTTATGAGCCAACTCGACGGCATAATCGCCAATCGTCCTGTGTTTACATAAACTGATACAGTTCCTTTGTTTCCCTTCCAAATAAACTGATAAGCTCTCTTCCTCGGCCAACTAAGATTTTAACATTATTGTCTCTACGGGGTACCACTTAACTAAATTTGCCATCCGACTTAAAGCTTGTACACATCATTGGCCAACGGTCCCCCTATACCATCAGCACACGACTCTGATGGTCCGTATGTTTTATAGGTAACTTCATCAGCACCACCAAAACATTGACCGCCGTTTTGAATGGCAAATACCCTGAATCCAAGCCTCTTGGCGACTTCTGCGCACTTGCTAATTGGTTGTTTTCTTTCCTGGTAACTCCCAGCAAGGAGTGGATCGAGTCCCTCCATCACCATCAAAGCTCGCCTAGCTGGATCCTTCCATTCCTTTGTGTCAGCCCAGCACCCCAAGCTGCGGTATTCTGTAACTATGATATCCTCTGTTTGAAAACAAAGCAGCAATGAAAGGAATGTAATTTATTGTAAACACGATTGATGTTACAGTCGGGCGAGACGCACCACATGGCACAAAATTGGATGGCTGAATAATCCGTTTGGCATGGACAACTTTTTGAATCGTTTTTCTAACGATGTTGAATCACCACTCTCAGTTGTCGTCACGGATCATTTTGATCACCCTGGCTACTAAAAATACAATGGCTTTGCCATTTACAAACATGGATGTTTACAATTTCACATCATAACAACAGAGAGGACCACTAAGCCATAAGAGGATCAAAGGCTACCGTCTCACCCTTATCATTCCAGAGGATATCGAAATGCTCTAATTTATTATATACTCAAAGCAGCAGTTGTACGGTAGACAATCAACAAAAATATCATTTCCAGCCATGAAGAAAGCCGTGTTTTTTTTTTTATGTCTGGTACGGTATAGAGCGTTTTCACATGGCTTCTTGACGGCCATGTTGGTGTTCCAAACGAATCCTGTGGGAATTAAACTCTTTCTTATTTACGCGCCTTTTTTTTGTTACGATAAATTAGCATAGATGCTTGGCACTAGCGTGAGAAAACAGCCCGCATTTTGCGACGCCACCACTGGATTCCCTGCGAAATGACGTCTGAGAAACGAGCGCAGAAATTCCATGCTAATGACGCGCACGGGCCGTGCGGTCGTGCCGAGCGGAAATTTGGTCCAACCAATCAGAAAACAAGCACTACTCAGATCTGGATAGTGACGTGTCATCAGAATGAAATTTCTGCGCTCGTTTCTCAGACGTCATTTCGCGGGGAAACCATTGGTAGCGTCGCCAAATGTCGGTTGTTGTCTCAGGCTAGCTTGCCACGTAAGGCATAATTATTTCAATTCTTTACCTGACCACTGTGATCCACTTCTTGTAACAGCGCCGTCCATTGGAAGGGGAATCTCTAGCTTGCTTGGGTGCTGTAACGGGGATAACCCTCGCACAGAATTCTCTGTCGCTGCGTTAAAGGAACATCGATCAACAATTTTCAATGACACCTCGTAGAATTTGCAAAAATTTTTGAAAGCATTTTTAAGGGAAAATATATGACATCTTTGTGAAAGGTCAAAAAAATCATACTTGAACAATGAATGCAATTAGGTGTGTAAAGATTTGGAGGTGCCCGCGGCTGGGGGCAAGATGTCCTAAACGTTGGCAGTCAGAATGAGTTTTATATGGTCTCTTTTCTCTACCGGGCCGCAGTTGTTCGAAAGGTGGATAACGCTATCCACCGGATAAATCACTATCCAGTGGATAGCGCAATTGGTTTCCGTAATGTTTATCCGTTGGATAGTGATTTATCCGGTGGATAGCGCTATCCAACGTTTGAACAACCGGGGCCAGGAAAAAATTCAAGCAGTTTAAAAGACCTGCGCAACGGAGATTTCGATATCACAGTCATTACTTCTTGCTAAAATAGATGAGACTTGTTAGTCAAGGGCCTAGTTATGATGTTTTAGCATTACTCCTCCCTTTTGGTAATGCAAAGGATAAATAGAACTCCAAAGTACTCACGAATACAGGTCCGCTTGCCAGCGTTGCTCATATAATAACCAGGGTTACAGAGGCAAATGTCTCCGCTGATAACGGTGGAATACTGGGGACATTGTTTCCTCTTCGGTTTGACTACAAGATGAACAAATAGAACAATGTACTATGTTATGGCAATACTTTGTTTTATCCTTAGATTATGCATTGATCCAAAAGAGCTGTGTAGTAGACCTTTAGAGTGGTCGATGCTGTTCATTCAGTGTCATTCACTGAACACATGTCCTATATTTCAGCAATTCAAAAAGTCATTAATAATTCATAGTGATAATTGAACTTTTCGTCCAATTTTTTATACCAAAAAATAACCCCAAATCTAAATGTTAGTGCAAGAATGAGTTGATCTATATCAGAGATTTTGAAGCCGTTCAAAAAACTTGCAGTCGTCAGCAGTCGTGTATACGTATAGGTTTAAGAACTCTCGGCTTGGCCTCGAGCTTTTAAACCTGATAATATACTCCTGCTCGTTTTTCAAACAGCACATAACTTCTCGTTCAAAGAATAATACGGTTAAACGGCAGCAGTGCTTTGTCACGAGCAAGTCAATAGGCTACTTCCGAGTTCCAAAAACCCTCACTTTCAAAATAAGGCTAGGTGCACAACCTTTCTTGAGAAAATGAGTTTAATCTGCATGAGAATGAAAAGTGATTTCCATATCAAAGGCTGAGCACCTACCCTCGTTTTGAAACAGAGGCCCGGGGAAACTCGGAAATGGCCAATTAATTCGTATATCTTATTTCTAGAATCCTGTGCACTCTCTTAGGGGCTGTTTACATGGAGTGGGGGCCCAGGTCTAGTGGGGTTGGTTTCTTTTGTTTTCACGCTCTGGGGGACACAAAACAAAAGAAACTTACCCCACTAAACCGGGGTCCCCCACTCCATGTAAACAGTGTCTAAGTATGTGCATGAAAGGTTAGATCCTTAATGTCTTCCTGTCTTTTTACGATAGAACGGACTAACAAATTTTTATATTTTCTCTAGGAATCCATGTTGGATAAGAGTACAAAATACAGGATATACACCAGCAACAGGGGTAAGCTTAGTTGAGGTCACCGTATAAATTCCTAACATGATAAAACGTCCGGAATGTTTTCCTTTTTCTGGTTCCTGGGGTATGTTTCTCGAAAGTCCCGTTGTCTTTTCGGCCCCGGCAAGCTGTTTTAGGTTATCCATGGTTATATCCAAGTACAACGGTTTGATAGATTTG